TTTGTTCTTATTGGGATAGACACTTAATCTGGACATGGATTTTCCTTCCCCATACACAATACTTCTCCAAAACTATCTGTGGACTTACAGAATGCCTTATCTACTGTTATGTGTTCCCCATAATCCTGGAGCATCTGGCTTGTTAGAATGGTGGAATGGACTTTTGAAGACAATTATAGTGCCAGCTAGGTGACAATACCTTGCAGGGCTGAGACAATGCTGTTTCTCCCATTGCCAGGATCCATGAGTCCAGAAATCAAGGGATGGAAATGGGAGTGGCACCACTCACTATTACCCCTACTGATTCATTCATAAAATTTTTGCTTCCTATCATTGTGACTCTATGTTCTGCTTGTCCAGAAGTCTTAGTTCCAAAGGGAGGAATGCTCCCACCAGGAGACACAACACTGATTCCATTGAACTAGAAGTTAAAAATGCTAGCTGACTACTTTGAGCTCCTCATGTCTCTGAACCAAAAGACAATGAAAGGAGTTACTATATTGGCTGCTATGATTGACCCTAATTACCAAGGGGAAATTGGACTGTTAAAGAATTGCGGTAAATAAGAGTATATCTGGAATACAGGGGATCCCATAAGGCAATTTTCAGTGCTATCATGCCCTGTGATTAAAGTCATTGGAAAACTACAGCAACCCAATTGATGCAGGACTACTAATGGTGACCCTTCAGAAATAAAGATTTAAGTCACCCCACCAGGCAAAGAAACACAACCAGCTGAGGTGCTTGCTGAGGGCAAAGGGAATATGAATGGACTGTGGAAGAAGGTAGTTAATAAATACCAGCAATGACCACATGATGATCAGTTGCAGAAACAAGGATTGAAATTGTTATATTTCTTCTTTGCTATGAGTATGCTCATATGTGTGTGTGTGTGTGTGTATGAGCATACTCATATATATATAACTCATAACTCATATATATGTATATAACAAAGATATTTGTTATATATATATGTATGTATATAGCTCTGGTAGCATAGTGGCTAAAGCACTTGACTGCTAACCAGAAGGCTGGCGGTTCAAATCCATCAGCCACTCCTTGGAAGGAAGATGGGGCAATCTTCTTCCATAGTGATACTGCCTTGGAAACCCAAGGAG